TCAACCAAGAAGTATGCCAAGTTGTATTTTGATCGGGTTGTGACCCTACATGGAGTTCCTCTTACCATTGTTTCTGATAGAGGGTCAGTCTTTGTCTCTCATTTCTAGGAGCAACTCCAGAAATGTCTGGGTACTCGTCTCCTCAAAAGTTTAGCTTATCACCCGCAAACTGATGGTCAGACAGAAAGGGTCAATCAAGTACTTGAAGACATGTTGAGAGCTTGTGCCATTTCTTATCCAAAAAAGTGGGACGAATGTTTGACTTTAGCTGAGTTTTCCTATAACTATAGCTATCAAGAGAGCATTCGAATGGCATCTTTCGAGGCTTTGTATGGCAAGAAATGTAGGACACCTCTTAACTGGGTGGCAGTGGGTGATCGTGGTTACTTTGGACCTGATTTTATCAAAGAAGCAAGAGAACAGGTCAGTGTTATTCAGAGTCGTTTGAAAGTGGCTCAGAACTATCAGAAAGCTTATGCGGACAAGAGGAGAAGACCTTTGCAGTTTGAAGTTGGTGACCATGTGTACCTAAAGGCATCCCCGATGAGCGGCGTGCTTTGTTTTGGAGTCTGTGGAAAGTTAGCTCCTCATTATGTTGGACCTTATAAAATTTTGGAGTAGTGTGGTTCTGTTGCTTATCGTATCTAACTTCTGGATATTTTATCAGCCATCCATAATGTCTTCCATGTTTCCTAGTTAAAGAAGTGTCTATGGGTTCCCGGTGAAGTGGTGAAAATTGAAGGACTCCCTCTCCAACCTGATCTGTCTTATATTGAGTATCCCGTCAAAATCTTGGATGAAAAAGAGAGAGTCACTAGGAACAAAGTGGTAAAATTCTATAAAGTCTAGTGGCAAAATCATTCGTAGGATGAAGCAACTTGGGAACATGAGAGTTATATTCTGGAGTATTATCCCCATCTTCTTCCCGAAGTATCAAGGTAATGATTTAAGTTAAATGTCACTTCTTATCCCTTTTCCCACACTAGGCACTCACATGAAATCTTAGGACGAGATTTTGTTTAGGGGGAGGGGGAGAGCTGTAACACCCTCGGTGTTACGCCCTAAACAAATTACTAAAACGTATCATGAGCATCATGTTTATGTGATAACACATGTGGTAGAATGTGTGGATGATTTTTTTTGTAACTTAAGATGATCAATAAAAATGTTAAATGAAAAGGTACTCCATAATTCATGTGTATCAAGTAGGGTTGAAATCCAATTTTTATTGAACAAAAACACTATAGAACATATATGTAGCACTTAGATAAAGTTTGGAGTATGGACTTTGTAGATGACAATGGAATCCTTGCTGTTGAATAATAACTTTGCTAGCTAATGCTTCTAATGGCCTAGAAATGCAACTTGGAAACAAGTTCAGCTCAAAGACAGAATATTTTCAAGTTTATAGACGGTAAGATAATGCCATGTTTGGCAATTTATTTTGTGAAATCAAGTTAAGAGATGGTGTCGTGTTTTAGCTCGGGTTGGTAGCCTCACATGCCATCTTGAGCATTGTGAAGATGGTTTAGGTCTAGAAGCAACCATTTAGTTGTTATAGGCGCTTTAAAAATTCATGCAAGACATGATTTTGGGCTAGTTCACCGGGTGAGCGCGATCACCAGGTCTCGGGGGTGCGACATCGCCACGTCGGCACACTCCACGCGCGCACGCGCGCTGCCGCGTTTGGCCGACTGTGACTACCCTACCCTGGCCGCCATTGGCTCTACCGCGTGGAGCCGCCGCTACTGCTTGCATGGCCGAGCGACGCTACCGCCTACCTCACCGTGCTGCCGACCCACCTCGTGTCGCGACGCATCCGCTGCAGGTGCCATTGCCTCACCGTCACGTTCGTGCCTCCCACTACACCCCTACCCCGCTAGCTGGTTAGGTCTACAGCTGCTCTAGTTCACCAGAACGGCCGCACCGCCGTCGTGGATGGCCGCGCGTCGCTGCAGCCCTCACTAGTGAGCCCTGCCACCCCTCACCGCCACCCAGCACAGTAGTTTAGGTCGGGGATGGTGATTGACCCGCTTGATGGGTCCACGTAGGTCCTAGGTGGCCGACATAGCCACCCTGTGCCGCTGCTCACCGCGCGCGCCATGCACAGAGTTGCTCGGGTGTGTGTGTGTAGGGAAATTAGGAAAAACTCAAGGGGTTAAATGAATTCATCAGAGAGAGAAAGAAATAGTGTTAGGACTTAGGTGTAGTTCGGGAGAAGTCCGAGGGCTCTTTTGCAAAAGCACCAGCGTGCGGGGGCTCCCCCGCCGTGGGCCGTGTCCGCGCGGGCCACGCAGTTGAATCCCTATTTTCTTTTTCTTAGGAATTAGTAATAGTTTTTCCATTTCAATTTCTGAGCTAGATTTGTATAATTGATATAAATTCATGTAGGTATCCAAAAATTGCAAAACAGATTTTGTTAGGTTCCTAAAATTGTGATATATTTATTGGTGTATTTAGTTCATACTTATATGGGTTGATATTAGCAGTTATTAAATCGTTTGAGAATGCTTAATAACATTAAGTTAATTATTGTAGGAATTTTTGTGGTAAATTGGTGATAGCTTAGTCCTATAAATTTTATGGTAGCTTTATTGTATTATTATGTGCTCGCTATAATTTTTGTAGCCTTAGAATAGACTAAGCATTAGGGTAGTTAAATGCTCTTTGTTTCAATATACATTAAATCACTAGTAGAAATAAAGATATATCCTTAATTTGCGAAGCTAAGGGTTTGTTAGTTGAACCCAACACTTTGCTTGATGAAGATGATAGTTAGCTTAGTATCTTAGTCATTAGAGTTATCTTAGTAGCTTGGTGTGCGTATTCTTATTTTAAGAGTTGTTGCCTAAATGCTAAATGGTTGCATCATCATCATATTCATGTAGAGAACGAGTTGGTGGAGATAGTGACCATAGATGATCGCAAGTTCGAGGAGATTGTCGAGGAATACGAGGAGGTCCTTGTGAGGGAGGAGGTCCTGGAGCCACCACCGACTGACTCGACTGACACCGCGCCTACCCAAGGCAAGCTCTGGTGCATAACCTTTATTTTTTATAATCACTATATGTATATATGTGATGTACATTTACATTACATGAATTTTGTGAAAACCACATGCATAGATATATTTGTCTTATGAGTCTTACTAGTGCAAGTTCGACTAGCTGCTATGCTTAGGTTTTCGGTAGCGTGAGTAACTTGCCGTTACTCACAATAGGTGATTATTATAACTACTCCCATGATAAAAATGATGAAAGAAAAATAGAGACCGGACAAGGATATGGTATGGGTATTGGTGGGTGTAACGAGTTGTGTCCCACGACCACAGGGCTTAGCTTGGTTACACTATTTTTCCTATTCATATCGATTGAGAACCGTCTGTTGCTGTGGATGGTAATCAGGTCATAGACTTATTATCCTGAGCACATACTTGCTTATAGGAGCGGGAAGGCTCGTTATGCTCTTGTCATGGGTTTCAGCTATTTCTGGACTGACTGATTAGAGGCGGGAAAATGTGGAGGTCTAAGCACCATATTGAGACCGGGTCTCAAGTGTGGGGGCTTGGTGTCCAAGTTTGTTCGGGCACCTGGACCTCGTGACAGGAGTGGAATGGGTTGATCTTGTTTGTGCTTGGGGTACAATCGGTGCGTGTGTTTTGGGTACCCTGCTGGGATACATTGGTTCATGAATCGCCGTTTTCGTGAGACGGTATGACTTGGCTATGGTCTAGCACCATAGTGAAAACTGGAATATGAAAGATGATAAATTAGTTCTGATTGCTCAATACTTTCTTGAAAGTAGAACATGCGTTTACCTAGAATGGTTAGTTAATGAAGTAATCTTAACTGCTAATTAAACTTGATCTTAAGGACGTATTTCTAGTAATGCTTTTTGCGAACAAAAAGAAAAAAAACAGCAAACACATGTTGCCTATCATACCCCTTGGAGTCGGAAAACTATTCCCACTAGTCGGGTAAGTCTTGCGAGTACATTATGTACCCATGGTTTATTTTACCCTATTGCAGGTGCAGCTTGAGGAGTAGCTCTTGTGTGGAGGATTCTTTTGGTGGGCATAGACGAATTCTTGTATCGTTTTCGCTAGATGTTTATTTTCATTCTGCTGTTTAATTATTGCACTCTGAACCCTGGTATTGTAATAAATAATTTACAAGAACTCTTGTTATACAAAATGGACTAAGTATTGTAAGCTCGTACTCATTATTGGATTCTGGAGGTAAAACGTGGATTGATTCGAGTTCTCTTGTGGGGTGTGCTCGATGAAATTGTCCGATGTAGTTAACTTTCGGAGTGCTTAGTGTCTAGTGGAAGACGAGCGCATCCGAAAGCGTGTTATTTTGGGCGGTTTAAAAAACAGAAATAAAAACATTGAAAAAAAACTCAAGTAACTGAAACTAAAAGAAACAATTTAAAAAATAGAAATAATGAAACTCAAACGTCAAAAAACTGAAAAAACAAAAAAAGAATAAATTTGTGCCAAAGAAAGAAAGAAGAAAAAAAAGTAGGCGCATGGCGTGACCAATCCGTGGAAGGACGCTCGCTCCCTGGTGGGCGAGGCCGTATGGCGCGTACCAGGCCTTGAGGGTCGCTCGCTCCCCAGGAAGCGCGACACCGCGCGCAACAGATTTTCCGAACAAATAAATATAAACTGTAGCAAAGAGGAGTAGTATGTTTAAAATTTGGAGGGCCAAGAGATGTAGCGTAACAGCAGATGGCCCAACCGCCCAATGGTTCAGCCCATCATATCACGCCAACCCACCTTCCTGCTCCCAAAGACGAAAAAACCCACTCGAGAGTCGAGACATGCTAGGCGCGAAAGGCTACGATTCCCTCCTCCCGCCATTTCCGTCGCCCGCCAAAACGATCCCGAAACCTCCCAGATCGCCACTATTTGTCCGCGCTAAAATGCTCAAATCCGCCTCCCGCTCCCCGTCCCCATTCCCAGCACCGATCCGCACCCCTCTGACGTGCCGGCGGCCATGGACATGTCGGCGATCGCCGCGCGACTCGGCCTCTCGGGGTCCCGCCCCGTCATCCGCAAGGCCGGCGAGCTCCGCCGCCTCTGCGACGTCAACTTCGACTCCTCTGTCCTCGGCATCGTAAGCGGCCCGGACTGCCTGCCCACCCTCTTCCCCGATTTCCCGTCCTTCTTCCGCCGCGCGGACGTGCCTCTGACCTGTGTGCTTTTGCAGGGCGAGGTCTGCAAGGCTATCATCTGCCTGGAGATCGCTGCGTCCAAGTGAGTTTCGGTTTGCTGGTCAACTGTTCGATGAATTGCCCGTGTAGGGAACCATCTAGGCTCTGTTGTGACCCGTGTCATTTCGTCTGTTGATTGCTCAGGTTCCAGGTGATATTTGACCGGGCGGAGGCTGTGCGTATGAGCGGGATGTCTGAGAAGGCGTACATCAGATCATTCAATGCGCTCCAAAATGGTCTTGGTGTCAAGTATGCTTCTCTTCCCTTCTGTTTCACCGTTCAGAGCGTCAAATTCCTACCTTGTGATTATTAAGGTGAAATCTGCTCTTGTAGGACGACTTTGGATGTGCGTGAATTGGGCATCCAGTTTGGCTGTGTCAGGCTGATACCTTTCGTTCAGAAGGGATTGTCTCTGTAAGTCTTCTCTCATGGCAGTCCGATTGCACTTGCATCGATATTTGAGGGCCTACTGATTATGAATTTTGTCTCGAGACCACGAATTGTAGACTATGTCACTTGAGCTTCATTGAAACTGTGCCCAAGTTTGCAAGTTGCAACCTGATGTTTCAATGTTATATTGAGGGTAGATTTCATACATTTCAGCTATAAGGAGCGCTTCCTTGCTGCATTGCCACCTTCACGCCGGGCAAGCACTGACTTTGGTCGGCCAGTGTTTACTGCAGCAGCATTCTACTTATGTGCGAAGAGGCACAAGGTGCTTGCCTGTTTCATTAACAGTGTACTCTGTTCTTCTGCATTGCATAGGCGGTTTGCCTTCTTTAGTGCTGAAGCTTTCCTTATTTTTCTTGTAGCTCAAAGTTGACAAACTAAAGCTGATCGATCTATGTGGCACATCCAGCACCGAGTTTACAACGGTATAGTTTATTCATATCCTCTTTGTATGTATGCGCATAGCTGCACTGTGCACTTGTGCTGTGTGCTCACTTGAAATTGTGTACTGTGCATATGCTCTTTTCTTACTTTCAGTTGTTCTGATTGCAGGTTTCAACATCAATGACAGACCTCTGCTTTGATGTTTTTGGGATAGCCAAGGAGAAGAAGGATCCAAAGTCCATCAAAGGGAACAGAGGTACCTACATACTCATTGTTGATCCATTCCTTACATCATTGAGTTATTAATCCACTTACATAGCGAAAATACATGCTACAAATAAAGCTTTGTGTTGCTAACTCTCCACTAAACTCCTATGTTTTGTCCTTGTTGCAGAACTGCTGGATGTTTTGCCAAGCAAAAGGAAACATGAAGATGACAGTGATTCATCTGCATGCGATGAATCCTCAGACGATGATCTAGATGAGCTAGATGTATGTACCTGATTACTTCTGATTGCTTATGGATTACTCATCTCACTTTTCTTTTGAATTGCATCTAAAAAATATCTTAGTAAGTACTGGAGTTTAATCTGCATTTTGAATTGCATGTCATGGAACACAACTACACTGATATGCTTTTCCTGATGAAAAATGGTTTTATATTTAATTTGTAGTAGTCTTCCTGTTTGAAATTTTCCTGCATCGTAAAGTTAGTACTAGTGCAGTTTCTTGTATATGGCTTTCACCTGCATGGAACCCTGTCCACATCCTTTATTACCTTACCCTCGCCTGTGCAATGCGAGGAGACCGTGACTCGAACCTGTGACCTGGAAGGTCCCGGGTTCGAGTCACGGTTTCCTCGCATTGCACAGGCGAGGGTAAGGCTTGTCACTAACACCCTTCCCCAGACTCCGCACAGAGCGGGAGCTCTCTGCAGTGGCTACGCCCTTAGTATATATAATCCTGGTTTGATCAATCAAGTTTTTTGAGCAATCAGTATCCCCCTGGTTCGCTCAAATAAGGTTTATGTACATGCTAGATGTCTGAAATCTGAATGAACTGAAAGATATTGAAAGATGTCTTTTCTTCTACAGCTGTGCAATTTTGGTGGTTCCTACTATATAATAGTGTGCAACAGTAACTGCATCTAATCGTTTCTTCTATGCCATGATGTGTTAAAGTGTGGTCTTGTTGCATCTACACAATTTTCCTGTCGAGGTTACTTCTGCAATGTCTATACGGATTATTTTGGGCCTGACCGCTGTCTGCTTGTTCTGATGTCAGTTACCAACTCACAAGAGGCGCAAGAAGATGGAGAAAGAAGCATACAATGATTGGAAGTCGTCTGTTCTTTCCTCGAACAAGAAAACCAAAACAGGTTTGTGCTTTGCCCTGTTCTGCATCCCCGACTATTTATTATTTTTCTTAATCTAACCTCATGTCTGACGAGATTAGTTCCCTTCCGTTTCCAGACCCTGCCAAGCCTAGGAGGCAAGCTCAACTTAACTTAAAGAAGCCGGCAGAAGTACCTTCTGCAGCCAACTAGATAAACCTGAACCCTCTTCGCAGCAAATGGAGTTACCGAGACTGAAAGTGGTCTAGGCTCCATCCTCATCGAAGTTGCTTCTGAAAGCAAAGGGAAAAAATCGGACGCCTTTGCTCCTTTTTTTTTAAAATCTTTGTGACATAACTTATTCATGAAAAATGCTCTTGGGCAACATCCTGCTGTAAATGACATGTCCATATTCGTATTACATGAGAGCAACTCCACCGGTAACCCTCAAATTAGGGTCCACTACTTTTGATTTGAGGGCTCTCTTATTTTTTAGGGCTTGATTTTTTACATGTGCTCTAGCAGGAGCCCTCTAATACTATTTGATGGACATTGACATAAAGGGCGCTCATCATTCTTTGTTCTTTCCATCCTTAGTCTCATCGGCACCTACACCGTAGGAGGCGTGTCTTCCATTGAGGAAGGAGACTTGATGACGTCGGGAGGAGCCGTGCCTTCTCATCCATCTGCGTGGGGTGTTGGGAGAAGCTGCCAGGGCGGGGGTGGACGAGAGGGCGCGACGGGGAGGAGGCCATGTCGGTGCTGCCGGGAGGAATCATCGGCCAGAGGATGGTTTCAGGGAGCAACGCGAGCATTGGCGGAGCTAGGATTTCAAACTTGGCTATTCCTATTTCCACATAAAAAAATCCAATCCATAGGTTTAAAATATAATTTAGAGTAGTAAGTTACTGACAATTAAAGTCACAAAATACCACTGTAAATCAGTCGACGATAAACAACAGAAAAGAAAATTGAACAACTAGGAACCGAAGTTTGGAGACATGAGGCCTGGGACCTGCCTAGCACTGCGTCCGTGTCCGTGACCGTGAGACAGTGAGAGGCCCAGGGGTGTCGGGGTCATGAGGCGAGAGGCCAGGAAAGGGTGGAATGGCTCGGTCTAGGAAGGTGGGAGTTTGGAAGCCAGGCCAAAAGGTTGTTTTCTACTATTTTGGTATGCAATAAGTGAAAATACTATAGAATATGACATTATACGTATATATAAATATATGCACATATATACATAAAAAGTATACCAAAATAGTTGTGTATTCCTAGGAATATTGAGGAATTCTATTGGATCCGTCCATGGACGCGAGGGTGGATTCAAAGCGACATGCGAGAGAAACCCCAAAAACAGTTGAGTAGAGGCTCCTTCCGCCCTCAGGAACGAGGGCGAAGGGGAAATTTGAGGTCTCCTCAAATTTAAGGGTCAGGATAGGGTTCTACTAAAGTGAGTTTTTTTTTGCCCATCATCCCTTACAATCAGGATGAAAACTACGTGGCCAAGAAAGGACGCTCCTGGCTTGGGATTGATCGACGAGGACGTCGATCTCTTAAGGGGGTGAGGATGTAACACCCCGGCTCAGGGTTTAATAGGATTAATAGGATACTCGTACCAACAAGTTGCAACTTCTTTTCTATAAGCCCATCTCTTAAGAACTCCAAGGTTAAGTGGGGTGTGGCATGAGGCGATAGGTGGACCGATGAAGTTCTTCCATGCGTCATGAGGACAAAAACTCTCTAGAAAAGACAAGTTTGGTTTGTCTATAGAATGAGTTTATCCATGACAGATATAGCGGACTCATAAACCTCCGGAGAGGTAGGGACGTTAGCATGAGAAATAAAGTTAAGCCGACTAATAAATTTGATGAATGGACTCATGATACGTCACTTTATTAGCTATAATAAGTATTTCTCAGATCGGGAGGTTCTTCCGTGCGTAAGTAGAGAACTGACAAAGTGTGTAGAAAAGAAATGTTGATCGTGAGGGCGCCTATATTTAGTTGTTGCCGGATGTAAGCCGCCAAAACATTCGGAGAGGTGGAACACAGAATGGTTCGAGCCGACTCTCACGGTTTAATTGTTCAATCTTTGACTAATTAGGATGCAAAATGTTCGGTGTGGATCCGGCGTGGTCACACATCATGGCACATGCTACGAGTTTTGATGGACACACGGACGTGGCTAAGAGGGGACGTCTAGCTTTGGGATTGATCGACGAGGACGTCGATCTCTTAATAGTGTGAAAGATGGTAACAATTTAGGCCACGCTTAATAGTTGGATTAATAGGATACTGCATGACAACAAGTTTTTTTTTGCCATCTCTTAAGAACACTAAGGTTAAGCGTGCTTGGCCTGAAGCGATGGGTGACCTATTTCATGTTCGGTAGGTGGAACCATGTCATCCACCATCATATCACTCTCTAGTTTTTTTGTTTGGTTTGTTAATAGAATGAGTTGATCCATGACAACTATATTTCTCACAAACTAATTAGTACTAGCATGAGAAATAAAGTTAATTCTAATAAATTTGATGAATGAACTTATGATACCACTTTATTATCTATAATAAGTTGATTTCTCGGATCAAACACACCGTAAGTAGAGAACTGCCGGAGTTGCTTTCAGAAATGTCTTGATTTGACTCGTTGGTCTGGCATCTGTGGTCTCCTTGGTGCTGTCAGTCCAATTGGCGCCACCTACACCCTGACGCCCTGGCGTTGGGCAGTGTTCATGTGGGCACCAGGACTCCAGGGTTCTAAAAAATACGAGATGAATGAATAGCAAAATATCTCTTCAAGTGATCAAATTGTCAAGGAGATTGAAAAGTACGAGTGAAAATGCAGGCCTTGTCCCGTAGTCCAAGTTGCGGTACTTTTTAGTATTTCGTAATCGCGAGCGAGTTCGTCGTGTTCGTGATGCGCTGGGCTTTAGGAAACGAGAAAATTGGCTATTCGCCGTGGCAAAGAATGGGCTTCACAAATTTGCCATTCAAAATAATAACTTCACAAAATTGCCAGCCAAAAGGTATGCACTTTGATTTCATTGCCATAATACTTATCTATCTCTATTTCTGTTTGTTCTCTCCTATAAACTAAGCAGCTCAAGGACAAAATTACCCTGCAAATAGGCTCACCCGGAAGCCATGTCGTCGACGGAACTTGTGCACACGCCCCACGTAGATGAAGCGCGGTGGTTGCCGTAGAAGCCGCATCGATGACCGCAGCGGGCGATGGACGACGGCTGGCGGGCTCGGCCTCGCCGGCCGACGTGGACCCACCGCCAGTCCTGCCCACCGCCCCACGCGCTCGGCGCGCCCCGCGCCCCGACGTGAACTCGGCGTGCCCCTGCTGCGCGAGTACGCGACGTTTCCTCGCCGCGCCTTCGGCCATGTTTCCCAACTCGAGACAGCCGCGCTTTCGGACCATGGTGAATTGGTGAGCTGCCGGCCGGCCAGCCAGCGGGCCACCCAGCCCAGAGACATGCAGGCGTTCAGCACAACTGCACAAGGACGGACGTCCGTGTGTCTATTTGCCTGAAGGGCAATTTCGTCCTCACGCATGGCTGAGTTTAAGAGATAAAATAAAAAAAGAGATAAATGGGTATTATGGCAATGAAAACAATGTTCACATCTTTTGGTAGATTTGCGAAGCCCACTCTTTGCAATGGCAAATAGCTAATTTTCTCTTACAAAACCATGGCTCTTGGGGTCGGGTGTGGGCGTGTGGCTGGACCGCTGGAGCCCGGAGCCTCGAGTCCCCGAGCAAATCTGTGCGTATCGCCGTATCGGGCAAACTACTACATGGCGTCCGGGGCCAGCGGCGTCGCCGGGTCGCGTGTGTCCGCCACGCGCCCCGCACTACCTTTCCTCCCCGCCCGACGCGATCCCTTCCCTGCAGCTCTTTTGCTAGACCTCACCAACCCCGCGGAAAACGCCAAAACGGTGCGTGACCTGAGAAGGATGGCTAGTTTGTTTGGATTGTTTTGTGCTCGAATTCTTCTGAATGCATAAGACATGACTAAAACGCAATCAGTCAGTCGTACCATGTAGCTGCCTCTCGAGTCTCAACAAGCCACCCAGGCGCCGCTACTTGCACGGTGCGTATATTTTTGCGAACTGAAGTACGCATTAAGCCATGTATAGTTCCCAAAATTTTTCACCTCAAAGTGTCACATCGAATCTTGCGGCACATATATGAAGTACTAAATATAGACGAAAAAAAACTAATTGCACAGTTGGGTGAGAAATCGCGAGACGAAACTTTCGAACCTAATTAATCCATAATTAGACACTAATTACTAAATACAAACGAAAGTACTACAGTAGTCAAATAAAAAATTTTGGAAACTTAAACGCGCCCTAAATTATACTAGAAGAAAACACTTGCGTAATAATCTAACCATTTCTTTGGGCCTGGAAAGAGGGGCGTTGGGGCGTGCGGCACTGGCACATGTAGGGCGCTGGTGGTGCCGTGGTGGCCATGTCATGGTCATCCCATCCCATCCGCGTCCACGCAGGAGCACGCGCCAGGGCGGAGCAGCGGTGGGTGCCTCCCACACGCCCCGCGCGTGTCGCCGTCTAGCCCACCGGGCCCGGCAACTACCCTTTCCCCCCGTCACGCGGGCCACGCCACCGCCTGGCCCACGGATCAGCGAGACAGAGATCGCAGTTCCGCCCTCCGCTCCCGGTTCTTCTTCCTGCCCCGCCGTGGGACCCGCCCTCGTTCCCTTTCTTCTCCCTCTCTCCTCCCTGCCTATCCATCCTCCTCGGTCCTCCCCAGCAATCGAAGAAAGGGCCGAGCTGAACCGAGCCCTCAAATCTGGCCGCATCGCGCCGCTATCTCTCATCCTGACCTCGATTCGAGGTTGTTTCGGGAAGGTGAGGGTCGTTTTACCCTAGTCCTTGCTTTTTCCCCCTTGCCCTCGGTTGCTCTGTGGTTAGGGTGTGGGGAACTGATGCGGAGCTCTTTATTTGTTGTCGCAGGAAAGGTATCGGATCAAGTCCCTTGATCACCCATGGTGCCCAGGGACAGGGCGCATAGCGCCGTCGCTGCCACCACGGCCCCGGCGGAGAAGCTCGTTCAAGGGTGAGTCTTCGGTCGTGACCCCTGAGTAATCAGGGGAAAAGCAGCAGATACATTTTGTAGTTTTTCTTTCGCCTTTGATCGCAGTAGGTCTTTGGGCTTTGCAGGGGAAGAACACTAGCTACACACCAATCCGTACTCCTCTTTTATGATCAGTAGTGTTTCTTGTCGATCTCTGCACGCATAATTTAGAATCATGTCTAACATTGGTTTAAACCTCTCTTTAATTCAATGATGATGATATGCTGCTGTTCGAAAAAAAGGCTTCATGTGAAACACTTATAGGATGTTTGGTTTGAGGAATGAGTTAGTCCGTCATCTACTCATCCCTCACTTTTTTTTTGTTTGGTACGTGGAATGGAATATGCTGATGCATCATCACCTCATTTCTCTCAAGCTAATAATTAGTAATAGTATGAGGAATAGACTCATGAATCATGATGCACCACCTCATCTAAGATGGAGTGATTCCTCAAACCAAACACCCTATTATGCTCCGTATGTTTTGCACCATGTACCTGCAAAACTAGTGGAAGCAAATGTGGATGTTTGTTGCTAAATAATCGATAATTCCTTCAAACGAAATTAGGCTTTCTCTAATGTCGACGCTGTGGATAAGGTAGAACCAGAGAGTGGGACAGAGGCTTGTTACATTCTTTGAGCATGACTCACTAATTAGCAAGCTTTTCTACTACAAGTGCATGACACGATTTATTGCTGATGCTGAACATCTGACAGGCCTATCCAGAACAACAAGTGCGAAAAGAAGGCTCCAAAGAAAGTGCATAAATCTGAGAGGGAGAAACGTAAGCGTGACAAGCAGAATGATCTCTTCGGCGAGCTGGGAAACATGCTAGGTATGTGTTCTGTTACAAATTTAACTTACAACAACATGATTTATGGTTGCACAGCATTATAGAGGATGTCTCTTTCTTACCTTGGAGAATCCATGGTGTTTTGTTTTATGGAGTGCCATCCTGTTTATTTCATATATTTTGTCCTGGTCAATGTAGTTTGCAACTCACCTGTATGCCTGCTGTTTGTTGATTCTATTTAGTTTCGGATTTCCAAGTCCTTACTTTCAGAGTTGAGCATGTTTACGTGGTTATGTGGAATAATATTCAACACGCACTTGACATTGTTATACACACATCTTGCAACAAGTGCTGCATGCATATATGGTTATTGATTATTTGCCTCAACTCTACTACTCTACTTTTGCTCAAAGTTACGTTGATATTTTTCCTAAGCAATGTCATCTCTTTTCAGAACCTGATAGGCAGAACAACGGGAAGGCATGCATATTAAGTGACACTACGCGAATACTTAAAGATCTACTTTCACAAGTAGAATCTCTTCGAAAGGAGAACAACACACTGAAGAACGAATCTCATTATGTACGTGTGCTCCTCTCATTTCTGAAACCCGGCCATATCACGACTTGGGGAATTTAATTAAATTGTCCTTGAATTTGATTAATTTGATGTTCTGTAGACTGTAGGTAGTAATTCATGAACGAGAAAAATCTGTGGGTAGTAATTTTGTGTACTCAGAATTTGCAAATATTAGCAAATAAATCTTACAGCAGCAATTGAAAAGATTTGCTATATCCTAGCCAGTAATTCAATATGTGCTTCCTTCGTTGTACAAAACAGGTTGCCTTGGAGAACAATGAACTACTGGATGAAACCAATGTGATCCGTGGTGAAATCTCAGAACTTCAAAATGAGCTGAGGATGCGGCTAGAAGGCAACCCTATCTGGAGTCATGACACTTCTAGATCAAATCTTACAGCACCTCATCCTGCGACCACAGTATTTACATTGCAACATTCAGCACATCCACAAGTCATTGCAACAATGGCACTTCCTCTGCAACAGCCAGCAGTCGTTGAGCAATCTTATGCTGCCCCACGGCGGGAGCTACAGCTATTCCCTGAAGCTGCACCTACTGAAGATACTGAGCCACCACAAAACCAGGGGGTCTCTAATAATGTGATGCGGCCGCAGGCAAGGTACCCACCAGTAGTGACAACTTTGCCTGTACATGTATATCCAGTCCTTCCAAGAATGGAAGATGAGCAATGCAGCAGTGGCACTACTGGTAGCAGAGAGGAAGGCGGGGTAGGCAACTGCTAACAGCTGAATTAGAAAACGAGAGATCTGGCTCACAGTTTGAAAAGTTTTCGTAGTTTCAAGTTTAATGTTTCCGTTATAGCTGATGTGCTAAAGAAACCTCAAAACCTGTGCTGCTGTGTGCCTGCATGTGTAAAGTATTACCTGAACTTAATCTTCAACTAGTTACTTCTATGGGAGCAATCTATCTTTGTTAGTTCGTTCACTTCGAAGTTCATCTGTAGTGCTTGTACCAAGCAGGAGTTCAAAGAGTACCCGATTCTAGAAAACATTTTAATCACTCTTCTATGTATATGTAGTTCTGTACAAGTTGATAACCCCGATCAAAAGCTAGTCTGCCTGGGAATCCCACCTTGAGTTCAGTTAGTTGCTTAAATTCAGCAATTCTGGATACATCAGCAAGACACAATAATGGAGCTGCAGCCTGTTTCCTTCTCCGCAGATATTTTCTGCGCTTCTGAATCCCTCAGCTGAGCTATCTCATCCCACCGGCCTTCTGATGCGTATGTGTTCGACAGCAGAATGGCATCTGAAGGATGGTAGTGGCCAATGGCGTCCAACTGTGCCTGCACCATCCTCCCCAGCTTCGCATTGCCATACACTCTGCAGGCGGCAAGCAACACTCTCCATGCCGTAGCATCACGCTGTGATGACACGCTTTGTATGAGCTCATAGGCTTCGTGTAGGTGCCCTGCTCTTCCCAGGAGATCAATGACGCAGCTGTAGTGCTCAGGGCTTGGAGACAATCTGTATCGCCGCACCATTGTCTCAAGGAATTCTTTCCCTTCCTGCACCAACCCGCCATGGCTACAAGCAGTTAGCAGGGCTAAGAAGGTGACCTCGTTAGGAGCCACACCGTCGTCCTCCATCCTGCAGAACAAGGAGATGGCGGAGCCTGTCTGCCCATTAACTCCGAATCCCATGATCATCGCTGTCCATGCCTTCACGTCCCTATCTCGTATTGCATCGAAGACTGCAGCTGCCTCGCTGGGGCACCCGCACTTGAAGTACATGTCCATGAGCGCTGTCCCGAGCGTGCTGTCAATCTCAAGCCGTGCATCTTCAGCAAGCTCATGGACAGAACGACCGGCTGCCAATGCCCCAGACGCTCCACACGCAGAGAGTAAACCCACAAGCGTCCCTGAACTAAGTCTCATCCCGTGCCGTCTCATTCCGTCAATCATGTCCATCGCCTCCTGAATCTGCCCTGCCTTTGCATAGCCATCCACCATACAATTACACAGCACCAAGTCTCGTCTAGCTGTCTCATGAAACACCTTGCTTGCACACTCAATGCTGCGCTCCCTCACGTACATCCCCACCATTGCTGCCGCAACCTTAACATCGCCACAGAGCCCTGCCTTAACACAGAAGCCATGCACTGACTCCCCTTGCCAGCCACACCCAATCAAGGTGATCACCGCCGTCACGTTGACATCCAATCCAGACCACCTCATCGCGGTGAACATCTGCAAAGCTGTGCCCACATCCCCCAGCATGATATAGCCCCCAATCATGGTGTTCCACGACACAGCGTCCTTCTCAGGCATTTCCTCGAACATCCTCCGCGCGTCCGCCATGTTCGCACTGCTGCAGTAAAAGTGGCACAGAACATTCCGAAGGCTCACAATGTCCAGGAACCCGTACCGCAGCACGAGCGTGTGCACCTGCTTGCCAACCGAAGCTGCCTCGGCGTCATTGGGGATTTTCGCGCAGAGAGCGAGCAGCGGCTGGAACGCGAACTCGTCGAGCTCGGGGACGGCGCGTCCGCGCGGAGGTGAGGACCGAGAGGGACGCGGAGAGGGAGGCCGCGGAGGGGCACGAGGAGAGCGCGCGGAGGACGGCGGTGTGGTGGAAGAGCGTGGGCCGCGGGACGGCGACGAAGAGGGAGAGCGCGTAGGGGAGCGGCGCGAGCGGGGAGGCGAGGAGCCTGGCGGTGGGGAAGGCGTGGTGCGGGAAGTGGGAACATTTCAGCATCAAGGCGTGGAGCTGGAGCAGGTGCCCCGGCCGCGTCGCCGACTTGAGCAGCGCCGTCAGCGGCTTCCGCGGCGGCATTGCTCTCGGTTGGGTTGGGCGGGAGGGCACGAGCTCGGCCTCGCCGGCTCGGTCGCATGAGTTCGTCGTGGAGACGTCAGACTGTTCGGCAGGCGCGCGTGCGCGTGTCGCCAAAGCAGACAGAACGTGGGCTGTGAGCCGCGTTCGGGGTGCCCATCTAGCAGAAAAAGGCCCATAGCAACACAGACCGGGCCGATGACACTTACATAAGTGAACAGACAGAATTTATTGAAACCCGGCCCATCTAATCAAAGCTAGGGTTTACATCCCTTATAAGATCTCGTCTTCCACCCCCGCCTCCGTCTCTCACACTTCCTCCGGCGGCGGCACCTCGACGACCAACCGCGCCACCCTGCCGCGGCAGCCATGGTGCATGTTAGCTTCTACCGCAACTGTAAGATCCCCTCTTCCACTGCATTGTATGCGTGTTGCCTTGTGACTTCCATAGACGTGCAGTAGATATCTAGATCGATCCAGCTCGTGCTGTCTGTTATTTCCTTGAGGTTCTCTAGATTATTCCACCAGTAGTGTTGGGGAAATGCTTACCATGTGCAGTATATATAGTGATGAATATTCCTTTGGGATACGCTTAATAGTAACAATTCGGATGGTCGAACAATACCTTTCGGCTTTGCTTTGATCCGTCAAGCCCAAAGTATGGTGGATTGCCCTTAGGTGAATTGATTGTGTGGATATGCATGTGGTTTGAAAACTGTCTGTATATAGGGGTGAACTGATGCTAGGTCAGAATTCAAAATACCAAGCTTTGTACTAGTTTAGTACTCTTTAAAAGCAAATAGTATCAGACAATGTCCTTAGGCCCTGTTTGGTTCAGCTTATGTGAGTCTCGCTTATAAGTTGAGCAGAATTATATAATAAGCTACGATGTAGAAAATCTGTTGTCTAAATAAGCGGGGCGTTTGGCTGTCCTGATTATTTCGGGTATGACATTTTCTGAAACCCTGAAGTCTATTTACTACTATTTATGTGAGATGGACCCAAATAAGAGTTTTATTTGCATCTGGTCCTTCTTCAATCACCGAGCTTTAGTAAGGGAGTGACCCGTCGTGGAGGTCGGGAGATCCGGCAGGTGCTCCCAGCCGGTGGATTCGGGTTAAATACGGTCGTGGGAGGCGGGGAGCGAGACCGGAGGAGGAGGCGTTGACGGATGGAGCTTTGGGAGGAGGCGGCGTCGGGATGGAGACCGAGCCGGGAGGAAGCCGCGCGGAGATGGTGGTGTGGCGCCGAGGAGGAGGCGCGCCAGAGATGGTGGCGTCTTGGGAGGAGGCGGCGCCGAGGATGGAGGGAGTGAGCGAACGCGAACCCGCGTTCTCCAAATCGCACGCCTTGGCTCGCGTTTCGGCCGTAGGCTATTTTCCGCGTATAAGCGGACGCGCGATGGCTGGTCGCGAGCGCGACGCAACCCGTTTGGTGAGATTTTCGCCTCATCTCGGTCGCGAACGTGAGAATGAGCGGAACCAAACAGGGCCTTAGACAGTTGTCGCAATTTTTGTTATTGCTCAACCAGTCAACCCGACGCTGATTATTAGCACCATTTAGTATAGGCTCTAGTTGTGTTTTAAATACTCGAAAGTAGAACAGAAATCTTTTATTCATTGATAGTGACAGGTTAGTTGCTACAGATACCATCTCAGTTATTTTCCAAAGCTAATTTTTGTAGTGCTATCAGTAGCTTATGATGTTGTTGCATGTTGCAGATGGGAAGACTTTCAAGAAGCCAAGGCGTCCGTATGAGAAGGAGCGCCTAGATGCTGAGCTGAAGCTGGTTGGTGAGTATGGGCTGCGGTGCAAGCGTGAGCTGTGGCGCGTGCAGTATGCCCTGAGCCGAATCAGAAATGCAGCCAGGGAGCTGCTCACCCTGGATGAGAAGAACCCACGCCGTATCTTTGAGGGTGAGGCGCTCCTCCGCCGCATGAACCGATATGGTCTCCTTGGTGAGGGACAGAACAAGCTCGATTACGTGCTTGCCCTCACTGTTGAGAACTTCCTCCAGCGCCGCCTCCAGACCATCGTCTTCAAGAATGGCATGGCCAAGTCCATCCACCATGCTCGTGTCCTCATCAGGCAGCGCCACATCAGGTCTGTTTATTATATGCTCTTGATCCCCCAATTGTGCATCAATTTCAGATGTATCGTAAAATGCTCACAAAGAGTGAAAGTTGGTAATTGTGGGTCTGAGCAGTTCCTAGGTTTTCTTTGTATATAGATGTCTTCTTTTCCTTGGAGTTGTGGCATTCCTTGAACATTTCCAATGTTAGTTATGAATTTGCAATATACTGTTCCAGTTTGCGCCCAATTTCTTCATGTTTTGCTCTGCTGGTTGTATGTTAGTTGTAAAGCCGCACTTGATCTTGGATGGGCCATATGATGAAAAACCATGTGCAATTCTCACGACGGTCGTCTGAGACACTTTGTGTGTAATGTTGCAGTCATGTTTCTCTGATGCCCTTGGTTACATTTGATTCTTGTACCTGCTACCATAATGAATAGTTTTGTGTGACCCTTGCCTTCTCTCTATGGTTCGTGTTTACTATAGTGAGGTCCTTGCTCTGTCTTCTCCAGCGTAAAAATGAGTAATCCTGATGACAAGACACTGAACGTTTGGAGTCTGTACAACAACAACAACATAGCCTTTCAGTCCCAAGCAAGTTGGGGTAGGCTAGAGTTGAAACCCACTAAGGGCCCCAAGTCACGGTTCAGCCACTTCAATAGATGCTTTCCAAGTACTCCTATTCAAACATAGATCTTTAGGTATATCCTAAGCTTTCAAATATCTTTTTATTGCCTCCCCCCATGTCAATTTCGGTATTTCTCTACCTCTCCTCATATTATTAGCTTGGCTTAGGACTCCACAATGCACTGGTGCCTCTGGAGGTCTCCTTTGGACGTGGCGAAACCACCTCAACCGATGTTGGACAAGCTTTTCTTTAATTGATGCTACCTCTAGGCGATCACGTATATCATCGTTCCGAACTCGGTCCATTCTTGTGTGACCGCAAATCCATCGCAACATACGCATTTCTGTAACACTCAGTTGTTGAACATGTCGAATCTTTGTAGGCCAACATTCTGCTCCATACAACATAGCCGGTCTAATCGCCGTTCTATAGAACTTGCTTTTTAGCTTTTGTGGTACCCTCTTGTCACAGAGAATGCCAGAAGCTTGTCGCCACTTGATCCACCCAGCTTTGATTCTATGGTTAACGTCCGCATCAATATCTCCATCCCTTTGTAGTATCGATTCTAGATACCGAAAGGTATCCTTCTTAGGCACTACTTGACCTTCCAAACTCACATCTCCTCCTCCTCTACAACTCCGCTAAAGTCGCATATCATGTATTCGGTTTTAGTTCTGCTCAATCTAAAACCTTTAGACTCAAGGGTCTGCCGCCATAACTCTAGTTTCCTATTTACTCCCGCCATAACGTTTGGAGTCTGTGATACAGTATATTGTTTTAACAGCCTTTCATCCTTCATTTTTTATTTGTTAATGTAGGTTTCTTGTTAAGGGTAACAAATTTTATTATATTGAAAATTCGGTTCAATCATCTGGATCACAAGTCCATTAGCTCCCTATACTTTTGCAAAAAAAAAAAATTGGTTGCATCCTGCCATGTTGCTTCGGATGTATATGCATGTATTTCTATGTTTTATTGGGCACAATGAGGAGTTAATTTTGCTAATGTATCTCCGAGGCCAGATGGTCAATGATTCTTTTGTCCTTTTCATTCTGAGTGCCCCATTGGATGTTCAAGTAACATGTTTCTGTTTCTTTTGTCCATTCAATGTTGTCATATTTCCTTCAGATTCTTTGGTTTCTAATTAATTTGGAGTGTCTTGTTCTGGCCATGCTCAAACCTGTCAGACTCGGTCGTAACTTTCATTCATGTGGTTAGTGTAGACAATTCATTGCTTTGCCTGTTCTAGTAAAATAGAGTGCCTTGCATGTATCTGTTTTAGGGAATGTGATGTTTTGTGACATGTATCACTGAATTAGTCCTGTTGTGCTTATGAAAAAGACCAAACTATTTGTTAACTGTTATCATGGGGATGCTTATACTTTAAAATTTAAATCCTTGTCATAGCTTGGTAGATTGACAAACAAGCTCAGTTTAGCAACTTGAATTTACGAGCCTTTTTTCTCCTTGATCTAACATTGTATTTTCACAGGGTGGGAAGGCAGCTTGTCAACATCCCCTCGTTCATGGTCAGGGTTGAATCAGAGAAGCACATCGACTTCTCCCTCACCAGCCCTCTCGGCGGCGGTCCTGCTGGAAGGGTGAAGCGGAAGAACAGAAGAAGGCCTCAGGCGGCGGCGGTGATGGTGAGGAGGACGATGAGTAGTGCCATGTAGGATTTTGCGACAGCAATTGGTTGAAGTGTGAGATGGACACTTTAGGTGTTGTGCCTGAGTTTTTGTGGTCTTGATGAATTCAGAAATCCTACGATGGTAGACAATTTTGCAGCACACTACTGACAGTCTTGTTTAATTTCAAGCATTGGCACAATATCTGTACACCATGAATTGTGTATTCTGGTTTGCGTGGCTATTTGGTCGTCTGGCATCCTATGTTTAACACTGAATGTCTGAATCAAGTTGGTATTATTCCAACTTCTCGTTCTCAGGTGCTGTTTGATTCATAAAATGATACCGCAAACGTAAATGGCATGAGATCCATGGGGCAATGATTACAGGATAATCAGTTTGCATTTTGTTTGGTTCTACGCAAGATCGTAGATAATCAGTTTGCATTTTTGTTTGGTTCCACGCAAGATCGTATAAGGTATTCAGGTTCGCCTACAGCCCGCGGAGCTGTGGTAACGGTTAGCGCTGGATTTGCACAATTGCACTAGCCTCGGACCTGATTACACGGGACCTGATTGCGCAAGTGCAACCAAACAAATTTAACAGACTCAGATTACTCTGTGAATTGGTAACATCTCAAAATTACGAAACCAAACAGTACATTAGTTTTCGTTTTGTTAACAACTATGCTGAGTGGATGGCCATGTTGAGCATCAGAAAATTTCTCCGTGTATGCTGCTCTTCAGATCACGTTGTCTAGGCCTGTTCACGGGTTAGGTTGAAACCAGCTAACCGGTGAACCCAATCTGCCCCGTCTTTGAAACGGGTTGGCCTCAAAACGGTTTAGAACCAACTATTATACCAAGTAAACTGGCAAACCCGTCCCAGATCTCTTCTCCGGCCTCGACGCTTGACGGCGGTGCAAGCGCCGCCGGTCAGCGAAAAAATTGCAAAAATAACACTCAAAAGATTAACTCCTTGATTTATGATGACACTTGGATGGATGACAAGTGGTCATCTGTGTCTATCCAATGACCGATGTTTCGAATCCCATTTTTGCAAATCTGCGATCCCCGCGCGTTCCGTCAGAGGCGCGTGGCGCTCCGTGCTCCCGTCGCCGCTCTCGCGGCTCCGCGCTGTCCTCCTCTCCGACGAGCTTGCTCTGCTCCCTCCACGCGCGGCGGCGGCGGCTCTGGCCAGGCTCCCGCACGGCGGTCTGCGCCTGTGAACTAGGATCAGCGCCACAGCTCACCACTGCGTCGGCGCCTCGCGAGATGGGTGGCTCGCCCTCGTCGTGGGCGACGCCCAGGCGCGCCGCGGGGCCCCTGCTGCTCAACCCCTTGACCGGCGAGATCCTGCTAGATCCCGAGCTTTACGAGCCTATCTATGCATGAGCTCAGCTCGGTGGACGGCCAAGTGTCCTGCGCACGTGCTCCACCTCAACCGCCACCGCGCCGCCTGCCTTCGAGTCGGGTGCCACTGCCAAAACTGCCTTGCTGGACTCAGTGGACTGTATCAGTGGCCTGACCATCGTCAGCCATCAGGGCAGCCGGCAGGTCGCTCCGGCCTTCTCCGAGGATGGATTCCCCTTACGGCTGCATGCGCTTAGGGGAGGGAAGCACGACGATTTGCGGAGCAATAGCAACAAGGCGGGATGCCCGCTACGCTACGCATCCTTCTTCCTCGTTCTGACGCGCGCACAAGAATTACAAAGCACCTGTATGGTTCAAGCCGTCAGACTCGAAACAACCAGCCGTATGTTGGAACCTGAATTGCTGAGCTGAGCTGTATGGTGTGCACCTGGCACCGAATTGTACAAGTACATGGCAGCACCCCCAATTGCATTTCACTGAATTTTGTGCAAACAAGAATGGATAGTACTGCATGGCAGCACCCCTAGTTGCCTTTGACTGAATTTTGTGCAAAGGAAAGATAAAGGGTTAATTGGAATGATGCCATTACAATTCTGTGAGTTTGAAGAAATTCTATTACAATTCATGATATTAGAAGTGTACCATTACATTTTCATAAATCTTTGAAATATACCATTATTGCATATTCGATCAATGATCTGAATTTTTGGACCAAACTGCCCTCATCTTCCTCCTTTATCCTTCCTCCCTCTTCCATTTTCTACGAGCTAACCGGCGCCTAGGCATTGCCAGCTGCAGTGCCACACCTCAGCTCGTGTGTGTGCCTCCTCACGCCACCATGCTCGCCGGCCCGCCACCGTGGCTGCGTCGGCACCTGAGCCCAGCCCAAACACGCAGTGCCTTTCAATGTCGTCATAGCGGCTGCAAATCCATGGAAGCTTGCTCTGCCCAAACACGCTTAGGACTCCTTGCTCCACTCGTTCCAGCTCCCTGCGGCGGTGGCCAAGGAGTATGACCATGACCGGCTTACCGACGTCTTCCATGACGTGGCCATAGGAGAGTGGTTGACGAAGCCGAAAGCGCACCACGATGTGCCCACAGTGCTCTCGGTTGTACCCATCGCAGCTCGCGCTCTCGCCTCGCGACCAAAGACCCATGGATGCGGTTGCTTCTTTCTCGGGCTTATTCTTTGAAGCGCTGGCCGCGTTGGAGGCTTGGAGCTGGAGAGAGTCCGTTGCTGAAACGTTCGAGGCTCTGTGCTGCGTGCCGCAGGGACGAGCTGGAGCGCGCCGTGTGGGCGAGCCGGCGTGCTGCATGTCGAGATGCGCCATGGTGGTGAACGGTGAGAGCGAGGGGAGGCGCAGGGCTGCCGTGCCGGCGCTGCTGCGTGGTGGGTCGGCGAGCAAGGTGCTGCTGAAGCTTGGCGACACGAAGCGAGGTCGGCGGCGCTGCATGACATGGCCGAGCTGCCATGCATGGCTGTGTCGAGAGGAAAAAGAGAGGGAGAAAAGAGGAAGAAGAGGGCAATTTGGTCTAAAAATTCAAATAAATGAGTTGAAGGGGTAAGTAGTGGTATATTTTGAAGACACGTGAAATTATAATGGTACGTTTCCAATATCACGAATAATAATGGTATATTTTCAAAACATGACATTTATAATGTCATGTATCAAATTAACCCAAAGATAAACGCGGAACCAGTTCATGGAGCGGCTGCTTGACGGGCCTATACAATTTCAGTTTCTGGACAGTAATGCATACGAAACTACATCAATTGCTTCTATTATGCAGCAATTGTTCATAGTATGCAGGTCGTAGATACTGAATGCCTCTGTTGCACGGCGCAAGGTGAGACTTGGTATATGATCTTGTCGAAGATATCGGATGATGAGAGGAGGTAAAAGTGTTTGGCTGTTGTTCACCATAGGAAGCCGGAGCTGCTTTTTGCTGCTTGTGGTCAGTTCGGCACTGAGGACACACGGTGGGCGTCATTGGCATTTGTGTTACCTCTGTGTGTTAGTCGTCAGGGCTATGATGTTATGGTGTTGTGGGTATTTTCTGTGTTTTAATCTATGCCTATATAAGGTTTTCAGGCCTGGTTTGCCTTATAAACTAGGTCAATTCTATTTTTCTTAATAAAAAGACAGACTGCTATTATTTTTTTTAAAGTCACTTAAGCCTGATGGTACACAAGCCATTCAACATTAGGATGCCTCTTGCGGTCTTCCGGTCACTGACTAAAGAAACCATCCATTGCTTATATATTCTAAAAAAAGAAAAACCATTCAGGACAGGAACCAAACCAAACTGGGCCTAAGAACATAAATACTGATGGCTCCGTTCTAGGCCTTCCATCCTTTCAGTTCAGGCCGACGCCTCAGCCTATCTCCAGGGAAAGACGGTTTGTCGCAAACAAAAGCCGCAGCCCAGACAGAACGCCAAACCCAACCCCTATTTTTCCCTCCCTGGCTCCCTCTCAAACCTCACGGGAAAACCCGAAGAAACCCCCCGAAGCCTTCTTCCTCTCCAGCGACCCGAAGCTCTCTTCTCCGGTGAAGATGGCTCGCCCACCTCCTGCTGGTGCCATTTCGGCGCGTGCGCGTCCCATCATCCTCTCTGGCCTATGGCGTTCCAGATAGGTGCTTTCCCCTACCTCCGGTCTTCTTCTTCGCCGTTCTTGCTCTTCTTCTCTCTTGTTGTTTCTTTGCCGGTCGTGTTCATTGCTCTTTTGGCCGTCGTGTTCTTTCCCGGTGGGAGAGGAATTCACGATTTCGCGTCGAATTTGTGGCCGTCGTGTTCTTGCCCCATGGGAGAGGAATTCGTGATTTCGCATCGAATTTGTGGTCGTCGTGTTCTTGCCTTGCAAATTGTGGTTGGCGTCCGGTTGTTCTTGCCCTGCTCATGGAGCAAGAAAGAGAGGGGAGTTCGCACGAATTGTTGTTTCTTCATTCTGTATCGGCCGTCGTGTTCTTGACCCGCAATTGTTGTTGGCTTTCGGTGTTGTTTGTGTACCTGCTAGGTGAGAAAGAAGGGAGGTCAATTCGTGGTGAACATTCGTTGCATTCTGTTTTGCGCGTCGTGTTCTTGGCTCGCGAATCGCTGTTGTCTTCCGGTTGTTCTTGCCCTCCTCGCCGAGAAAGAAAGGGCAAAGAATTCGCGCGGATTGCTGTTTGTTCATTGTGTTTTGCCCGTCGTGTTCTTCACTCGCGAATCGCTGTTGCCTTCCGGTGTTGTCCTTACACATGCTCGGTGAGAAAGAAGGGAGGTGATGAATTCACGGCGAACTGGTCTTCGTTCCATTCTGTTTTGCGCGTCGTGTTCTTGCCTCACGAATCGCTGTTGCTTCCCGGTTGTTCTTGCCCTGTTCGTCGAGAAACAAAGGGGGAGGAATTTGCCATGAATTGTTGTTCGTTCCATTCTATTTTGGTCCTCGGGTTTTTGCCCCTGCTCGGCGAGAAATAGAAAGGGAGGTGAATTTGCGGTGAGCTGCTCGCGAGTTGCTGTTGGCTATCGGTGTTCTTCTGCCTCTCCTCGACGACAAAGATAGGGAGAGAATTTGCCATGAATTGCTGTTCATTCCATTCTGTTTTGTTCCTCGTGTTCTTCCCCATGAATTGCTGTTGGTTCCCGGTGTTGTTCTTGATAGTAATTCTATAACCTCTAGGTGCAGATCAA